ACGACAAGATTCAAAATAGGTCCGGTGAGCAACCATGCTCACATCAGCCAAAGGCGTCATAGTATAAACTCCTCGATATATCGAGCTGGGCTCCCCTACGTTGCTGCTGTCCAATGCGGCTAAAATGAGATAGTCAGTAAATCAGGAAAGGCAGGAGATATCCACCTGCGAAGTTGGAAGCGTATCGATGGTCTGCTGAAGAAGCTTCTGAGTCGATCATGAGCCAGAAGCCAATAACGAGGATGAACCCCAGTAGTACATTACTCCTATCACCAACAGTAAAGGACGGGAGGCTCTGCAATATTACCATCGCCAATGGTTGGTAGTAGGTGAGGGTTGGTTCCATACCGAGGCTCTTGAACCGAGGCTTACGGGAGGCATTAGACTTTCTGTTCGAATTTTCACTGTCAATGGTTCTGGTCTGTCGCGAGGCGTTCGCGTTTACAAGTAATAGCCGCGCTCGCCGTTGTAATCGATTTGTTGTCATGTTATGAAGGACCCCGAGACTATAGTATGCGACGCGGATGACGTTGCAGACATAGCAATACTGGAGTGAATCAATGATGAATATGCCAACATCCACGGGAGACGGTTACAGAGGTCTCGTCGGTTACAGATATGAAAAAAGGGGGTCATAGTAGCGCACGCCACAGTCGGGCAGTTCATAATCTCCACAGTCACCGCCTACTCATCGTCAGATCGATAACGCAGAGTATGTCAATATTCAGCTTCAACCTCTTCGTTGCTTCCCGACTCGGAGCTCCCGAATTTGATTATATACTGAAGATCATCCATCTAACGCATGATTTGTTACTCAAACTCATTGTTCTTGGGGTGATCCTGCATCTGCATCAGTCGATCAGGCTCAACTTGCAACATCACGATAATTTGCTCTTGATCCTGACAAGAATGAAGGTCGTAATTCCAGCCGTTGAACTCAGCATTACCGCATTCTTGAAAGATGCGCTTGAGTGTGATGATCACATTGTGATCGCTACAAGAACGAGCGCAAATATGTGAGAGGCGCGGATTCGATACTCTTCGGAGACTTCATTTTGCGCGCAGTTCCCCACTTGTGTTCGGTTGAGATATACGTGTTGAATTGGGTAGTAGTACTGCCGTATTATGGAAACATTTCATTTTGAAGGTGGGGGACTGCTCTACGAGCCAGGATTGTTGTTTGGATATTGTTAGATATTGATACTCTCATCACAATAGCAATTCCAAGTACGATGGGTGTATTTCGATAGAGTTTGAAATATTCCTGCTCCAAAGTCATGCATCAGCATCAACTTTGTTTGCCGGTGCAGAATACCTCCGTGACGGAATCAGCGTGAGAAGTGGGCGTTTTATGAGTCTGATCACTCACTCAGAATCAGTAATTCAGTATCACTAATCGGAATAGAATATAGATATTGCATGCGGATGGCTGCAGGTGGTCACCTCCTAACACTGGATACGGATCATTGCAGTTGACCACCTCTGGAGATTGCATTCGGTGAATGCGTGAATGCCATTTACGCTGCTTGGCGATCGAGGATATATCTGTCAGGGCGTGAAGTTGATTATAACCTTCCGAGGGTCCGTGAGCAACACCTTGAACTATGGACGGGAAAGCTGACCAGCAGATCACTCAGAAAGGGGCGATGCACGATGTGTGATCACTCACTTCATTGACAACGCTACTCCGCCTCACAATAGATATTGGTACTTGAGGTAGAAGCTAACAAAACTCAGACTTACATTTACAGAGAACATGATTGGCGCCTAGCGCTAGAGGGACAATAAAGCTCCTCACGACAGAAAGCTGCGCGATATGACAAGGCGCCAAGAGAATCAAATACTGTGATGATCACCGTATGATCGTGTTATGATTACATAACGACAGAGCGAAGTCCGTAGCCCGCACCTCATTGTCGAGGGATTCGGGGTGATTCATGAGCAACAGTGACCAACGATCGACGATTATTATACTATTCCCATAACTCGTCACTCAGTCTATTTTCGTTTCTATCGCTGGCTCCATTGGTGTTCCATGACGTCTACCCGTGTGGTGCTCCACGCGCCATCTCGAGGTGCGAGGCCACGGGTGATGCGACCCGAGGGTTTGAGCCACGCATCCGTTTCCCATTCGTATCGATAGTATAGTCTGCCATCTATACGGCTTCAACTCAACTACACAGTATAGCGATTAATTAGCTGCATGACATGCAGCTATCCATCCCGTGATCGCACGTCTACACGCAGTACATGTACACGTGCGTTTCACCTGTCTAAGACAGGTGAACGGTTATTCACGTTTTCTCTTGTCATAGGGGGATACCTCCACCTTGGATGGTACCAGTATTGAGTAAGGAGGACAAGAGTAACTCACCTGAAGCGATGTTCACCATAACCAGCTGCGCTGAAAGTGCACCTCGTAAATCTAGTTCTTGACATCGTATTCTTTCGTTAAAGTCGTACCGCAAGTTGTTCCCAAACGGTACCAAAACTTTGTTGATGTTCTTCCCCAGTATTATGCTCATATTTTTATTCCCATCCCTACTGCAATTTCTGTGCTCGACTGCTGGCAACACGGGATGGCGGTTTGACTCGTTGGTTGACATCTATGCTCGATACGCCGTGGGTCCATCGTATGGCATCATCCTTGATCCTATCCGCTCCCACTAGGAGCCTCAAACCTTGGAAAATAATCCACCTGTCACCGTCGCTTGGTGGCTTGAAACTATAGTGAAGGTCTCTCGTGATCATCGAAAGGCTGGTAGAAAGCATCCTGGTGGTCCGACAATCCTACTTATGTGGCTCACTCAACTGCAAGAGTTGGAACCCATCAGGTGCGTCTGACCCGGCTTCCCCATCATACTGTTGCAGATACCTCACTGAAGTTGAACAGGACCTGCAGATAGTAGCTCTGCTACCACCACACTCATCTGGTGATCGTATAAGCACACCTCCATTAGGAAGCATGCATGGGGTATTCATAGGAGAGTACCCGTCAGATGAGCGTAAGGAGAAGCCTGTCCTTATCCTATCGGAATCCGTATGCTCGAGGGAGTCCTTCACGACTGAACTGTGGTTTCAAGACTGATTACTTTGGTTGTTTCGATTCGAACACGCGAAGGAGCTGGAAAACAGAAGTTCGCGTTGAACAGCATATGAAGGGATACTGCGGGGCAGCCATTAACACACCACTGCCTCAGGCGACCTACTGCGGTTCCTGCGCCGATTCCGCCTAGCATGCCGTATGCAAATACTACCTGCAGCTCTAGTAGAGATGGCCGATATCCTAACGGATGCATGTAAGCCGTGTACAAACCATTACCGATAAACACACAATAACAGGCTACGAGACGATCGTCGAAGATGTATCTACTGCTGAGATCATCAGGGTCCGATCTCCCAGTAGTGTTCTATCATCCTTCGCGATCCACAACTCTTACAGGTTTAAAAACAGCGCCCTCCTCCTATGGCGTACCCTTTTCATCGCTTCTTGCACTGCCATTCGGGCTGTGGCCCACAGCGGCTGCGATCCAACTCATTGAGGTTTAGATATTGTTGCTGTCCTGTGCACCCCTGCCTGCCTCATGTAGGTCATCATAACCTTACTTGAATCGGCCCTTGGGCAAAGATGCGCTCACATGAAGAGCACTGAAGAGATATGGTCTTGTGAGAGTTGAATCATCTAGTCGAACTCACCATCGACTCTCAGGTCTTGCCTTGATTGTTGATGACGCCGGTTTAGAGGTGCTCGGGGCTAAAGCAATTGTCGGAGAGCAATGTGAGACCTTTTGGGGTCAACATGAAGGGTGAGTCACCCTTCATGTTGACCCTTCATGTCACCCTGGGTGACTCCCTCAACTGCTTTAGGCAGTATCACGCCCGAGTGGTGCTCCAATCAGGGGTACATTCTGGGGGAGTGGTCCGAGAGTGGAGAATGGTAGGGTACGCGCAGTGCTGATGTAACTAAGGCAGTCCGTAGGGAACTGGGCCCATCATCGCTTCAACGAGCAGAGGAAATCGTCTGTGTCGTAGAAGGTCCACCTGGCGGTCTTCCAGTCGACTTGCACCGAGATATGCATGAGTCTAGTCCGGCCCGGGGCACCCCAACGCCTCGCCGAAATCTGCGAGAGCAGCCATATGATGACTCGCAATTAGATGAACTCCTCCAGCTGCTCAATGATGCATCATCAGAATATGCTAGTATGGTGACCTATAGATCCACTAGCTTTCCGAGGGATGATTCAAGGTGACTCGAAGGGCGAAAAAGAGGTCCCTGATGGCGACTGGCCCCTCATGGCGGATGGAGAGCTCTCTGAAGGAGGGGAGGAGGACAGTTCACTTGATAAACTCGGTTATGGAGAATTTTATGACACCGATAGTGCGTTGGATACGTGGAGCGAACGGAATCCACGGAGGGGCAGCGGTGAACGGAACGTGATCATATGAAGGACATTCGGGGTCTTGCAGGAAAGAAAATAAACAGTGACAAAGCCATCGAGACGATGCTCGATGCGGACACACTTGAACAATTCGAGACAGATTTCGAGCAAGCTTCTCGGAAACTTCTGGAAGGTCTGATCACCAAGGTAGCCTATTGTTGACACTCGTTGGAGCCAGGAACCGTTCAAACTCGTGTTATCGCCCTTGTCCACCACCAAGCTAGTTTAGCATCCTCGATGATTTCTGAGATTGTCTCTGAGACTGATGGCAAGGTATTCTGAAGAGCTCAGTCGTGGATATCATATCACATGGCTCGTTTGCAGGCAGTCTTAGTGGTACCTTCTACCTCGACACCGATCATCAGAGTATCGGACAATGTTAGGAATGTTTCAGTGCTGACCATGAAGCCCTCGACGGAGTGGTTCGGTGAGTGTGGTGCTGGCGGCTTCTACCCCCTTCCTCTCTGCTCAGGTCTACTGACTCGGGGCTCGTCCCAGTTACGGCTTGACACCCTCCTCATTGGGTTCAAAGAGCTCTTTGGAATGTGGGCTGCTGAGATTGCTCGAAGGCCTCCTAATGGCGGAGGAAGAGTCTCTTGTGAAAGCCATCGTTTTGTAGGGACAACATGTCTGATGATAGGTCAGCAACTTTCCGAAACTCTGATGAAAATCGTCGAGAGTCTTGCTCGATCAACCGATGAGCTAATCTTGGAAGTTCCTTTCTGTTCAGCTCTGGTGATGACTCTCTACAACCAGCAGTCCTCGTAGGTGTTCCTTCCTGATCAGACCAACTTACTGCAGGAGATGTTGTGGCGTCTACCATGCATTGAGAGTGTCTGGAACAATGCGACGCAGATGCTAGAGTTGATGACTGGTGCGCATGGTGCTGAGAAATCGGACCGTTGTAATTCAAGGTAAGGCAGCGACGATGGGAAGATGTTGTTATTGTTTTGTTAGAGGCAATAGTCTGATGAGATTCATCCATATGAAGCCGAACCATGAGGGTCAGCCGCGGCGTGGTATATTACCTCTGCGGTTCCTCCCTCAAATCGTGAGTCCCTGAGTGGCGCCAAGATAGTGAAAAATAACTCAGGAAGGCTTCTCGACTGAACGGATGATTAACTCCTTGAAAAGTTTGGCGCAGAGGGTCAATGGTCATCCTGGCCGGACGGGGTGGGTCTGCTGCTGGTCACCAGAATCTGGTGTTATTCATGCTTTCTTTACTAGCAGATATCTCGTGTGGTTGGATGAGACAGGGAGCTCGGCATTCCTGAACACTATCGGTATGAGCATGAAATATAAGGATTATGACTTGTCGCGATCTTCGAAGGCTAAATCGAAAAAGTTCTGGCCATACTTAGCGCGATCGAGACAAAGAGCTTTCTTGAATAGGTCAACAACGTGGTTGCTGAGTAATGATGATGGTGATTATGTCCGCCCTAGCAGCCTCGCTGGTGGAGATTCGAGCCCTCGAGGACTTGGTTTGATTGTTGGCTTTGATCGAGGTAAGTAGCATATTAGTCTGATGTGTTCATGCTGACTGGCCTCGCAGATCTCAAAGTTGAAGGGGTGATAGGGCACACAGTACTCGAACATAGGCTTGGACAAGTTGTCAAGAGAGAAGAAGCGATGAAGATGGTTCGACTCATGAAGGCTCTCCCTACGGGCATTCTTGACGATGGCCGATTCTCTTTCGTCGAGTGGGGATCAGGAGAAGGTAGGCGTGTGTGGTTCTGAGTCTCAGCAACAGTCTGTCTCTCCCAGGACGGCTCTCTATGGCAATTTCGGAGGCATTCGAGAATTCAACGGTGGTGTCAGTCGAGCCCGGAGCCTCATTATCAGTGAGACACAACTTGTTCATCCTAGGATAGTATCCATTGCAGAAATACCATAACAAAGTCCTCCGAGCTTCATATAATCGTTCACAACCTAACATAGGGCCCATCAGTCTTAATAACAACATCGTCTGTAATGGTGATATCGACGAAGACATCGCCCGAGATCTCAGTGACTGGTAACTCTCCATCATTCCTACGCTGAATAGCTTCTCCCATCAGTCCGGAGTTGTTCCGATTCCAATGGGTTGGTTTGACACCGCACAACGCTAAACTGGCAGGCATGTTCGCCAGCAGTGCCCTGACCACCTTCATCCCTTTGCAAGCTGGTCCGGCAGTATGAGTGATGGCTGATTCACCCGATGACACCTCTGGATCATCAGATGCTGCTACTACTGAGTCTAGTCACGGGCCATGAGATCAGTCCCGATGAGATCATCTCCTCTAAGTTTCTCGAATACTACACTGCGAGATTCATAGGTTGCGTATTCCACTAAGGTTTTTTCATTCAATAGAAAGCTTCTCAGCCCCTCACGTGAGCTCCCACACTTTACTGGAGTGTAGTTGGCTTGGAGACTCTCCTGTGCTTGGCATCGTACAATGTGACATGATAAGCTCACAGCGTCAAGTAGTCGATGACGTAATAGTCCCATTGGTCGAATGTAACCCTCCACAGGTTCACCATCACTTCAAATGGTACGAAGATGGCCACAAACGAACGTATACGATGCACGTCCTCCCAGTCCCCATAGACCTCGTTAAAAGCTCAGGGATAGCCAAGGCAGTTATGAAACCGGTGAAATACACAGATGCATCACGTTGATCACCGTTTCTCGAAGGATTGGCGGAGACCCATCTCTGATCTCTACAACATCGACATCGAGAACTTCTACATAGTTGGAGGTTCGACTCGAACAAGGGCAATGAATGTAACTCTGTATCGTGACAAGGATAACTCCCCGATCCCTTACAGTGAGTGGAAGCTCTTATGGGAGAATGGTGATCGCCAGTGTTTCGTCCAGTTTCACCTTTGCGAGCGGTCACGCTGATCCTTATCATGCGCTTGGGGTTGTCTTCAGCGGTCAAAGAAGAACTCTACAGAGAGTTTCTCAGCCTTCCACTGTAGTCACATTCCAGCTTGACTGGTTCGCAGTCTGTGAAACGCAAGGTACGAGGACATGGCGCCTTGGAATATAGTTGCCGTGGGGAATCGCCTGGATTACATCGATTTCGATAGCCGAGAAAAGACGTTCACCAAGGCTGTACAACAGGCTTACATGGCACTCACGATTCTCGCAAATTACAAGGTGAGATGCTCCCTTGGTGATACCCAAGCGTGCTCTCTCTCTCTCTCAGCGCACAGTAGAGGACTTCGGGCATTGCGATCGGAAGAAGGCGAAGGTTACTGCGGGCTATGACTTCTTCCCATACATACATGACTGCGTTGGCAATTCAAAATTCAAAGGGCCGTGCAAATCTCCAGAGTTGCCAGTGCCGTGCTCTGATGGAAAGTACGTCTACGTTCAACATTTAACAGACCACATAGCTGTCATGCACATGTGGGATCCCTCAGGTGCCATGCAGATATGATAAGCTGCTTGCGAGCTCGGGCCGGAGTGATGGAGAAAACTCTTATCAGATGAGGCTAGTTTAAACATCTGCGGAAATATGTATATTCGTGTAAGGCTTCAGTCGGGCGAGGATGTGTTGCGTACTGTCCGCCACTACAGGGGTTGGGCAAGTATGGGCTCTCCATATGATCCCGATAAACTAGATTTAGTTCCCAGTTTGATATCAAGAGGAGGTTCTGACGTGAATGAGTGGGATTTACAACACAAGTTGGCAGTGCCATTAGAGTATTTGGACGCCTCGCACAGCTCATCTGCTCGACGGCTGATCTTTCTTCCACAAGACTACAGCTATAGGTGCAACCGAATTCCTGCCACTATGAGGTCGATAGCGCTACACGCTGGGCCAGTGAGTAGATCCGTCGCTGGCTGCGCCGACCACAGAAATCTTAAGCTCAGAAAATGCCAGTCCGGACCTAATCTCCTTGTAGCAGCAGCCACATGCACTGCATTACCACCAACTTGATAGTCGCAGGTTCGATCCGAGGTGAGTACATTTTTATGAAAGCTGTGTGCTAGGCTGAAGATACGCACTATCTATGAGAAACCTCATCAGATTTAATATCTATCATGGCGGAACGAACTTGTGTAGTTGTTGGAGCTGGTGTAGTTGGTCTAGCTATCACTCGAGCTCTTGCGAGGTGTGCTGCTCTTGAGGTAAGTGTGGTATCACCAATCTACAACTATCATCTAGAAACCATTCCCTATCAATGTTGGTCTGTTAATCTATCATCTGTATCATCTTAACAGGTCATATGTATTGATAAGCATTCCCGTTTCGGTGAGGAGACCAGTAGCCGTAACAGCGAGGTACTCCATCAAGGTGAGATAAGGTGTTCATCTTGTATTCTTATTATCAGTAGTGTTAGGTATTTACTACAAGAAGGATTCTCTTAAAGCTAAGACCTGTGTCCGAGGCGCACGGCTGATGCAGAAATTCATTGATCTGCACAACATCACTGTTCTCCCGTGCGGTAAGGGAGCTGATGAGTTGGGTGCGACTTCTGCCACTATCTTCGGTAGGTGCTTATATCGTGGCGCGTGACAAAGGCCAGCTTGGTGAGCTCCTTCATAAAGCACAGACTAATGGAGCAAGGAATGTTGATTGGGCACCATCCCTACCTGAAGGGGTAAGAACCCTCAAATGATAGACTGATAGGTTTCATCGTAGGTCCCCTCCGAATTCTCTGCATTGTGGAGTCCTAACACCTCTATTTTCGACTCCCATGGTGTTATGGAGGCTCTTAGAGCCGACGCTGAGGGCCATGGTGCGATGATTGCTACTGATAATAAAGTTACTGGTAATAATAATGATGACAGTGCTGATACTAGTTTTGGTATTGATACATAGAATAGCAATAGTACTATCGTGGTGTATTATCAGGTGTATCTTATTCACAAGAGGCAGCTTCCAGCGGTGAGCCTCCATTCACATTAGAATTGAACAATGGTGAGGATACCATGCCCTGCGATATCCTCATCAACGCTGCTGGTCTGCATGCTACCCATTTTTCTAAGCTTTGGCTCAAGGAAAGCGACACAGTCCACATTCCCATTACTAGGCAAGCCGTGTATCATTGAGGATTATCAGTGTGAAGCTTTTCTAGATTCGTGAGAGGTAACTACTTTAAGCTGAAGAGTGGCGTGAAGTTCCCCTTCAAGAGCCTTGTATACCCGCAACCTACAGCAACTGGTTTGGGTGAGTTGATTGACATCCTTCTTGTATCCATCTATGCTGCTATCCTCCAGGCACTCACTGTACACTCAGTCTCGATGGAAAAGCATTGAAATTTGGTCCCAACGGTCAGTGGCTACCCGATGATGTCGATTTAGGTGAGTGAGAGAGCTCAGTGAACGGAGGACATTCATGCTAATTAGATGATTTCAAAACTTATCAAGTTGACCCTAAGATGGCTCCCGAGTTTTATGACAGCATTCGAGACTACTGGCCCGACCTTCCTGACGATTCTCTCGAGGCCGATTACTCGGGCATTCGGCCAAAAATCGACGAAGGCGATTTCGTTATCGATGATCATGGTTACACTGGCAAACATCTGTCACTGTGAGTTTTTCCCACCGCGCCACAATACAGCTATGATAATCACCATGTTGTTCAGATACGGGATAGAGTCGCCCGGTTTGACAGCAGCATTAGCTTTAGCCGAGGAGGTTCTGGATAAGCTGGGAATGAAGACAGAAGAGCCTTTGCCCGAGACTGTCGAGTGATCGTATTTTTTTGTGTCCGTGCTTTCATATATTCCTTTCAACGAATCCCGGCTTCGTGTTGGTGGCGATCGGGAGGAATGGATGGGAGAACAGCGGGAACATATATGTTGTAACATTCTTCTTGGGAAGGGGCAGCGTCATAATGGGGACTGTATCAAATCCTACTTAGGCAGGACAATACGTAGGGGTCCCGACGCCGCGTTCCTCAGCTTGAAGGTTATTTCGGGATGAAAGGTGCATCGTGCACTCAATCCTGTTGATTTTCCATACACTTCATCGTCGCAGTAGAGCTTCCCACGGTATTGACAATGACAACACTTGAAATACTAGCTCCGAATGGATGACGCCGAAGAGAATGGTCATCGAAACTGATGAAATGAATCTAACAGTAAGTGTAAAAGTGGATTGTCACT